CACTGGAAAAAATCGCGCGCTTTAAAGGTTGTAAATTTGATGTAAATATGATGTAAGTGTCCAAAATTCTGTAAATTTGATGTAAATGATTTCCATTAAATTTACAGAATTTTGGACACTTACATCATATTTACATCAAATTTACAACCTTTAAAGCGTGCAATTTTTTTCCATATATCCTTTCAATACAAGCTTAAGGCAGCCTTTCAAGATAGGCGCAGGCAACTGTTCAACCTTTAATTAAAGCGCGCGATTTTTTTCCAGTGATACCACCAATGAGCGAACAATGTAATGTTCAAAGTCCGACAATGAGGACTGTACGGGATTTCAAGTCCGCGCAATTGGAACAAGGACTTGAAATCCCGTCCAGTCCGAATTGGAGGTCTTTGAGCGACGTCTCATTAATTAATCAGGAGGGGGAAAAAGCGAAGGAAGTACATGAAATATATTGACTGCATCTTCACCAAGGTTTTCAATTTTTCATTAATTTTAAATATATGAAGCACCGTTTTGTTGTTTTCCAATTCCCGAACGGGTTTCTGAGACAAAAGCTATTCAATCTGTCTTTGTCTGCTATTCATGGCATTCCTAAAGAGCCTAATTCATATGGTTTTTAAGCAAGTATTATATCTTCCGAGGAATCTCATCAGAATCTCGGTGGTGTAYTGGTATAAGACAGCGCATATAGATTGCATGGACGGTTGGGGATCGATTCGTGAGGCACWGGTAGGCCAAGCACTGCACGGCTTTTCTCTGAAGGTCTTGTGTGTTGAAAAACGAAAACTTCAATAAAAGTAGGAAATCTTAATAAAATGAATTCAAACTCACACAATATATTTTTCTTAATTTATTACACATCTATGCGAAGTTTCAGCTCTCTCCAAGTCAAAAAATTGCTGTTTTTATTAATGTTGGTCCCCTAGATAATACATACTATTTAAGATTGACAACGGCTCTCGAACAATCAGCGCGCGAGAATTCTACAAGTTATGGTAAAAGACCTTTTTGCACTAAATTAATTGCTACCGCAGCGTAGCGCGCTTGAAGCGCTCGAAGCAAGGAAGCAATCCCTAATTCAGAAAAAAATGGAGTTTCCGTACACAAACGTACGGAAAGGTCAGAGCTGATATTGATGTTATCCACCCATAATTCATTGCTTTCGTCTTCCCCAATGTCTACGTCACTTGTACCGTCATGCAGACCGGGCCCTAACTATAAATATTCACCACACGAGGTATCGTTGCTCCGCGGTACATGAAATAGTCCTTTTCCAGTGGATCAGCTTTTGCTAGGACTAAAATGAGTTTCAAAAATACATTTACCCCCTTGAACATAAACTGATGTTTTTGGAGCAACTTTAGAATACCCCCGTCAATTTCTGCCTCAATAGAAATTTGCATTCCGGCTCTTTTAAGAACGACACAGAATTCAATGGATTTTCGTGATAATCATAAKGTGATGGTGTATTCACCTAGAACTAAGGCGACGCTCGTGGATTTTGTTAAACCCGGTTGTTTTTTTACCCAGGTCAGCTCAGTCACAACCCGGCKTCAGATAAGAA